GTGGAAGGAATCAGCTCCTCTAATTCCTTTGATGCTTTACTACCTTTTGTTTCATAAAATGTTCACTCTTTCCTGAAAATATTTTGGATAATTAGGCTTGTATATTTTTAAAGTCCTAGAAAAATAATTCCTATTCAAAGTGTATGTATTGTCTTTTTTGTTGCTGTTTTTTCAAAGTATATCTGCCTCTGTTGTATTACCCAGTCTAAGAACTTCTTACACTGGGTAATACAACAATGCAATAAACTTCTTCCCTTCCATCTTCAGTTTCCTCACTGGTGTGTATGATCACATCGGCTGCTCAGATATGTAATGTGGGGGCTCAAAACTTTGTAATCACCTTAAAAATAGACACAGACAAGTCTGTAGCTACTTTCTTCCTATTTTCATCTGGTTTATTGGAAAGGATTTGGTTAAAGGGAAACCTAAGTTAAAACAACCCCTTTTTGTTGACTGGTTTTAAATAGAAAAATGAAGTACCAAGGGTTGCAACTCCCATGCAATCCAAATGAATCAATAAAGCAGAATTATTTGGTCATTTCCTCTGTGTAAATCTGAAATTGCCTATTTGCCATGGCTGATAGTTTCAGTTTGTTAACACAGCACACATCAAGATGCAGTTCACAATCTCCACCAGGCGAGCTAATGGAAACTGTGATCTGTCACAATAACTGAGTAGTCATCACACAACTGAGCATTTGGGTTTCCAAGACTCCCAAAATGAATTAGATAAGCTGCAAGTGCCCTAGATACCTGCGGTTTTAATGTTGCAATATCTTTATGTGCCTGACACCAGAAACTGAGAATGTGGAATTTTTATTTCTCAGGGGATTCCTGTATGAAAAGGAAGGTTAGACAAAACATTGTGGTACTGTACAAAGAAAAGGCCACAGGGAGTGCAGGAGTAGAAGACAGTAGATACATCTCCTGCCTTGCCTCAACTCCCTGGACACTTGACTAGAGGATGTAAGAAGACCTGTCTCTCTGCCTGGGAGGTCACCAGTTTTTGGCATATGAGAAATAACTGAGCAGCAATCACGATTTCTGTTGGAAGTAGCAGGAGATCCTGGTTCCACTTAAACCATTTCAAGACTATTGTGGGCTAATGGCTAGAGAATATTCTGGGGAAATAGGAGGGACTGCCTCTACTCCCATCTCAGGCATGGGGATTAAACACCTGGCATTTCTTCTCCTGGTGGGGTTATAACTACAGTTCAAGTTTGCACAAGACCTGGAATTGTAGAAGGGTGATGTACGGCTCACTCCTGCCCCAAAGCAGTAGCCTAAATTAGGAACCCAGGGATAAAATGTCCCACTGGGAGTGAGGGGATAATTTTAATACCTTCCTCAAAACTGTCTGCATGTTCAGCTACACACACCCACCTGAAACTTCCTCCCTGGACGCAAAATCCTTAAACGCTCAGCAGCAGGATCTGCTGGCTTGCCTGTGCCTTGCTCAGTGGTGTGTGCCCAGTGTTTCCCAGTCCAGTGTCAATGCAGGCAGAGCAGGTTGGTGCCTTCTGTGATGAGTAGCAAGGCACTCCCCAGGAGAGTCTGCAAGCCTTATCTAAATAAGAAAACATAAAGACCTTGTGGTTTGAGGTGTTTACCCAGCTAGTTACCCAGAGAAAGCTGCATGGAGTGGAAAAGAAGCTCCCAAAGAAACTTGCAGCCTAGTAGGGAGGTTGCAAGAGACATTTCAAAAATTCTGAGTATAATAAACGCACTGAAAAAGAGATTTTTGTACTGCAGTTCTGTACTTAGCCACTCCTCAAATTCCTATTTTGAAAACCATTTTTAAAACCATTTCTTTATCTAAAGATACGTCAGATTTTAAAATTGTGCAGCTGAAAACTAATTTTCTGATCTCTTCATAGTGTGGTCCTATAGGGTGGCTGTGGAGTTAGCACAAGTCAGGTGGTCCTGAGCAGCCAGGAGAAGGCATGGAGAACCTCCTGTGGGTACTGCCCACGTGTGCTTGAGTCGTGGTGTGAGCACACACTGGGGAACAGACTCATTTCTGCTTCCTCCCTCTGTTCCTGACAGCACAGCTTCAGAGCTGCCCAGCCATCCTTCAGCTGCAAGCAGGCTGCCCATGGGCTGTAGTGTCCATGTGAAAAAAGTTGATCCTTCTAACACAAAAGACCAAAAACAGCAGGCACTTGAGCATACTGCTTTGCACATCCCAGCCTGTCTGGCATGTCATACCTGAACCTGGATCACTGGAGATGGGGTCAGAGCCATGGAGGTGTTGGTTTCTTCCTCTGTCTGGAGGCTGACAGGGTCCATCTCCTGGGGTTCCCCTTGTGTGAATCTTTCTGCCTCCCTGTTGTTTCTGCCCTGCCCATTTACCAGTATTTTGTATTTGCATGTACCTTTTAATTTCAATGAGATCAGCCAATGATCAATTCAGCCAATTTCAATTGATCAATTGAGCCCATGTCAATGATGCCAGCCTAAGTGTGCTGTAGTGTTATGGGCCAGTCTTATAGTTAAAAGTACAAAAAAATTCTTCTTAGTCAAGGGCTTTATAGTTTGATAGTTAAAATATCCTTGTTCAACTATTCTTTAAATTTTTGCCAGTGGAAAATATTTCTGTGAAAAAGAAAAAACGTGCTGGATTTTATCTGGCATGTCAGCCATTCCTGTGGTTCAAGCTGGCTAAAATAAAAAATGACTATAAATAAATAGACTAGCTAAGATTCAGCATGGGAAATAGCTCTTACTCATTTACTCATATGTACTATTATATGGTGCAGTCATTTAATTAACACAAGGGAAAATAATGTATTAAATATTTTGCAGATTTTTTTTTTAATTAGGAGAGACAGGAGCAAGAAATATTTTAAATAGCTCTTTCAATATACCATAACAAATGTTCAGAAAATCTCATGACGATAAGATTTACCTGCATCTACAGCTGTAACCCAGACTGGTGCTGCAGGCACTCTTGGCACAAAGTGCAGGAAAAGTAGACATACAGGAGGTAAATTCAGCTGATTTTCATCTTGTTTATGCTTTCTAGTTCACAGTATCGTGTTAATCTCTGTGCCCTTGGTAGGAACTGTTGTGTATTTTAAAGCTATTGACAGTTTGTAAGATAAAGTGCTCCTTTTGCCTACTTGATACTAAATCCCTACAGATGCAGCAGAAGTGATGATGCTAACAAGAACAGAGGCACCCACTAGACTGGCTTTACACCATGCTGCAGAACACTTTACAGTACAGTGTGTAACTGGATGAACAACATACTCAGGCTTGTACTCACTGTACAGATGTCCAAGAGTCATTGTTTATATGTTCTTCATATATTCTTATTGTCAGTTTGAGCCAATGCAGACTGCAGGGAAGAGCCTGGAAAATATGCAGACAATTCCAGGCATTTTTCTCTGATCTAGATGTCCAGTTTTTGCTTCAATTGAGTTGTCTACCATGAATTAATCAAATACAAGTTTGTGGCCCACATTGTATCTACATGTTATTTCTGTATCATTTGTATTTTGCATTACTTCTGACACAGCAGAATGGTTCTGGGAAGATTCAGACAGTAATAAGACTACTTTTTATTAGAGACAAATCCTCTGAGCCGTCTTTGCCATCACTTTATATTTTATGTAATCTCAGTGACACATGACTGCAACATCTGCTGGACACATGACTGGATCACATGTGCTACATTGAAGTGGAAATGCCACACCTTTATTACAGTTTGACATTACATATTTCTGACCCAGATGAGAACAATATTTCATTTCCCCTCTAAAAAGGGGTGTTCTTCCAGATCATTTAAAAATGAGAATAGCTGTCACAATGCTGTTGCTGAAACGAATGTTACACAAGTCATTGTATTATTCACTCCATGTCAACTAGACAAAGCATCCAAGTCCCTGTGCCTTTTTCTCATTAAATTAATGGGCTTCAAATGTGTAGGGTGTTCAGAGGATTGTTTGTCCAGGTAGAAAACACCTAACTCCTAGTTTTTAAGCTGTCTGAAAAATGAAGGTGTGTGAGTGCTCACTGTGTTACTGTGACTGAAGGTGTTCACAGCCACATGGCCTGTGTTGCTCAGCACATACACCATGAGTGGTCTGTGAGACATCAGAAGGCACAATGTGCAGTGACAAAGTCTGCATTTCTCATTTAATACAGAACTTACATTTTTGCAAAACTTAAAATGATGTGTTAATGCAAAGAGCTTTGCTTTCTTGAACTCCCACAACTGTGAAGCAATAAGATTATACTCGGTGGCCCATGGATATTTTTTCTAGAGAGGCGGGAGAAGTGTTGAAGTAGGAAAAACCCAGAAAACCAAAAAGTTGCTGATCCAGTTCCCTTCAAACCTGTGGAGTCGTGTCCATGCTCTGCCTCCCCAGTACTTTGTGCTGAAGCACTCATGCTCGCTGGCCTGAGCCTTACCCTGCTGTGTGTCTGTCTATCCACAGCCCAGCCACCCAGCTGCGTTATGGAGCGTGTAATCCCAGCCTGTTGTGCCCAGCTTCTCTTTTCCTGCCACATGGGCTTGTTCATTTGGCTAGAGATTACTCAAACCCTGGCTTTCCCTAGCTCCACAAATATGTCTTTTGAGCTGCTATTACATTTATTTGCACACTGTATCTTTCTGGGTTTTGCCAAGTCAGATTGTTCATTGGTCTGCAGCTCTATATTATGTCAGAAGCAGCTGAAAAAGGACAACCAAGTTAGCCTCAGCTGGCAAAGACACAGGGTTTAACACAGATCTGCTGCTGGTGACCCAGTAACATGGAGCTGTACCCCACACTATCTGTACTCACCACCAGGGATTCACAGAGGAGACTAAATTTAAAGTGTACCAACCTCCAAGTAGATCAAACTTGAGCACATGTAAGACTGGGGGTGCTCAAATAACCACACACACAGAGTCTAGACTGTCTAAAAATGTGCTCATGCATACACAAAGACAAGGAATTTATTGTAAAAGGAAAAGTCCGATAATGCTTTTATTTCTGTTGTTTAATTCCCAGAAAGGTCATCTGCAACGTGTCTCTCCAAGAAGACTCCACAATGAGAAAAACAACCCAGAGTTGCTTCTTACTCATCATCCTTCTAACTGTAAGTACAAGAAAACTGCACTGCTCATGACACCCGCTGTGTTTAAACTTGTGGTGATGTTGAGAAAAACGAGTACCAAGTTATACTTGTTATACTCCACAGGTGAAGGAAGAGTTTCCTTATTAACAAATTTCAAAAGAAGTTTAATAAGATTACCTAATAAAAGTTTGAACTTGAAAACATTGTTTCTTGGTGAGACAGAACTGCAATTCTGAAGAGGGTTATGCATATGAATTTTTATTTCTGCGTTTTACATGCTACAGCATATAATGGGAACATGTGTGTTTGAAAACTGCCTTTAGTGTTGTTTTGTGACATAAACTGACTTAAATAGGGACAGATTTTCACTGTTTATAGTTGATCTGCTACTAGAAAAGCAACCAAAATGAAAAATAATCTTATAAGTCTATTTATTACTTCAAATGTTATTTTCAACTGTTTTATATCAACATTACATTTATTTTAATGTAGGCAACATGGTTGAGTAATTGTGGTTCTAAACATGTAGTAAATTAATTTCTGCTTGGTTAAATACCTCTCACATAAATTGAATCCTTTTGTTGAACTCTACTTATGAAACCTCAAATTATTATTGATCATCATAAAATCATAGATATTACAGGCAGTCAGAATTGAGAATACTGCCCAGAACATAAGTTACAGAATGAGCATATGTCTGAGTGATGCTACTGGGAGCAAGCACCTCACTACCCTGGTGTGGTACGAGTGATTTGCATGATGTCTGCCACCTTATTCCCCATCTAACTCTAGCCCTGTGCTCCTGAAGAAAGCTTTCTTCGTCTTCTTCTTCTTCTTCTTCTTCTTCTTCTTCTTCTTCTTCTTCTTCTTCTTCTTCTTCTTCTTCTCCTTCTTCTTCTTCTTCTTCTTCTTCTCCTTCTTCTTTCTCCTTCCTCTGTTTTGTTGGTTAGCTCCTCCTGCCCCTCTGGTTCTCGTCTTCTTCTTTAACATCTGAATGTGAAATACCTCTGTGCATCTCCTCATCAAATCCCTTTGTAGAAGCAAAAGAAACTCACATGCTGTAGAAAATATGTTGGAGACCATAAGCAACTGCTCTACCTGGTTTACTTATTGGTTTGTACCTCTCCTCTCAGCCTAGCAGAGTTTGTCCACAATGCTGTTTGCCACTTAAATTCATATAGATAAAAAAGGAAAGGAAAGTAGAGAACACTAAGAGAATGATGGATAGAGGGAGGTAAAAAGAAAACAATTAGATGAGATCATGGACAATCCAGGAGAACTGCAAAGAACGCATTACTTCAGTAAAATATTGAATTCATGGTTCAGGATTAGAACCCTCTATCAAAGAAGAGCTGAAGAGATGGAGAAATAATTGAAGAGAGTTAATACATTTCTGCTAACTTGGTCCCAAAAGAATTTTTCCATAATTAGTTAATGATTTGAGGAATCATTTCCATTCATAAGAGCAGTCTTCTACCCTGAGGTATACTAGAGTATTTTGGTGTTTGTGACCATTTAGGTTGGCTGTTCTACCTATCTTCCAAGGGTACATGTGACTGCATTGGCTATGAAATCACCCATGGTCAGAAATGTCTGCAACAAAGCGCCTGAGAGAGACCAGCCTTCTTCTGGTTTGAATCTCATCTGATCTGCATAGCTTGATAGGGGTCTTGACAGAGAACAGCAATACTTCCTATAAAAAGCCAATGCCAAATGAAGAAATAGATCCAGCTTATTTTGCTCCCAGTCAAGTGACAGGACTGTAAATATTCAGATAACTAAAATTGTCAACAGCACTTCTGAGCACTTGAGGTGCTTTGACCTACAGCATGGGTTTGTAGGTCAGCCCTGGAGGACTGATGCTTGCCCTGTTGTCCCCAGATATTTTAAATCTCTCACCCATGAGAGCATGTGTGCAATGTTAGATCTGTGCTCATTCCTGCAGCACTCCAGGGGGAAAATTTCTTTTAAAAACTCTTCAGTGAGATCCACATCTACATTCATTTTAAATATCTTTGCACCAAAGAGCACTTCATATTCTGACCTCAATGGATAATTTTCACTCTTCCAATCTCGATGTGCTTTCTTTCCCCACTGCAGTGGGCATACTGTGCTCTACTTTGACATCTCTTAGGTTAATTTCCCTTTTGGTAGAGAAGAAGCCACAGTCACAGAAGTAGACCACAAACAAGCTCTTTCCATCATGAAACTTATCCAGAATCCTGCAGTGAGATTAAATATGAAAAATATTTTGCCTCAGTCATTTTTCCAAAAACTTCCCCATCTGCAGATGGTAGAAGCCATTAATTTGTTGTGTTTTATTTATGGTTTGTAATGGGTAAAGGGTGTCTCTCTTTCAAAAAGGCTGTTCCCACTCTGTTGGTTCTTCAAATCACTCCGTTGTTCCAAGATCTGTGAGACATGTCAGCCACTATTTGAGGCTGAGGAAAATACAGAAATTAAGGTGATTTGCAACACAGACCTGAGTGATCTCCCATCCCTCTCCTCTACCCACCCCACAAGACACCCTCTAGATCTCTTTTCTTTGATGACTTTTGTGGTCTTCTGTCATCCTGTCATTTGTGACCTGCACTCCCAGTTGGTCACTGTGAGCTGTTGCAAAGCAACACAGCCCACAGCCCTGGGGTCCTTGTTTTCTCCTCTGGGCTCCAGGCTCTCTGTTTGTGCTCTTTGGTCCACTGTAGGTGCTAGTGGTTCCCCTGTGGTGGTCACCCCTATTGAGTAGGGGAGACCCTTACCTGAAATCTCTTTTCTTAGTGTAGCTGTGATTCCCTAACACAATCTCAGAGCTGGAGCACACACTCTATATAGAGTTAGTGCTTTGCAGAAGCCTTCCTCAGATTCTTCTTATATTTCTCCTTCAATTTCTTGTCACAGACAAAAAGTTAGTTACTTGGTGTGCACAGACACTTCCTTCCCACCACCTCCTTTAGACTCATCACCAAGGGCTTTTGATACCTTCTGATAGAAACCATCTCTTTTATGCATGTATTTTTTTACATAAAATTGATAACACTTCCATGTACAGATCCATAATAACCCGTCTTTACAAAAAAAAAACCAAAAAACCTGAAGCGTCAGTTGTTCCAAAACCTTATTTAGAAATACAAGCAACTCCCTATTGGCTTCCTCTTTGATGGATTCCCTTGCTTTTGGATGCAGGATAATACATCACCATATAGTCCTCTAATATAAAAAGCGATTTCCACTAGAAAATGTAATTCTTCATTATGTCATAGTTCACTTTAGACCGATGGTCTCTAGTTTTTTGCAATTATTGAGAGCCACAGAATGTGACTGAGATTTGTTTCCTAAAGTACGTGAGCCCTGGTATGCTGGAGCAATTAGTTCATGTCCTCAGTGCACATTTCTCTTCACAAAAAAGATGGAGCATCACCACAGTGTGCCCAGCAGCATCAAACTTCTGAGAATGAGGAAAAAGTAGAAGGTTTGGGTCTCTTTCCTGCGTGACTGATCAATTTTTCAGGACATTGACGGAAGAGACCTCTATTATCTACTTTATTTTCTCAAGTAAGAACTGTGCCTACAAATGGCCCTGGAAATAAGGATTGATGAAGTGTACACATATTCCAATTTTGTGTCCTGAGCCAACCACAACATGCATAGTAAGGACTAAATAGATGCTGCAGCTGAAGGCCACACTATTTTCAATTAGGCCCACTAGACCAATATTGTATTTTAAAATAAATTCATTTGAAGCAAAAAAAAAAATAATAATAAAAAAAAATTGTGCACGTTCACTGAGTCCAAATCTGTTAAATTGTTACCAAGCCCTAGTCACAAAGATACTCAGAGTCTGGTACTTCTTTCCAACACCTAAAAGACTTAATCATTCCTGTTCACACAAAACACTGAGAATTAATTATATGAAAACCTAAATGTAATTATTCGCTAATTGCATACACTGGTGTATTTTGGAACACAGCTGTGGTAGGGTAGGTTCAAGCCTCCAGAACCATTAGTCAAGCACTTGTCACCATGATGTGGGAGCTGCCCATGGTGTACCTGTTTGATCCTCACAGCTGGGAGGGCACTGCACACTGGTGGAGTGGTGTGGCCACAAACTCCACTGGGCTCCTGCTCCTGCTGAGCTAAGTAGCTCTCAATGTGCATCTCTGAAACCCATGCCTGTGCAGGTACTGTGAGAACAAGCCTTTTCCTGCTTAGACATCTTTTCCAGCATCTGGTCCAGAGCAGATCTCCCATGGGCCAGAAGAGCTGCTGAAGATCTGTCGCAGCCTCCTTTGCCTCACTTCTTCTGAGCCTTCTTGCCATCTCCACCTCTGGCAGCCCAGGGTCTTCCCCAGTCTTGGATGGTGAGATCCTCCTGGGTCTCATCACCTTAGGCCATGCCTTTGGAAGCTGCTGTTCTGCATGCACACCTCCCTGAGTAACTATTTATGGGTTGCTTCATGCTGTAAGTATGTGCACTCAGAAGTTTTGAACCTGTTCTTACACAAGGGAAGCTCTGGAAAGCAAACTGCTGATATTCTAAGGTGGTAAGAATTAGTCTGAGAATTTGGGAGTCAAGCTGCTCATCATTTCCCAAGAAATAAGAATGTTGTATTCTGTTCTATTCACCCAGTTTCAGGGATGATCAGGACGTTTTGACTACATCTTTGCTTTTTTTTTTTAAAACAAGGCTGTTGCTATGCAGCTGATTGCAGTAAAGAGGCCTTTCACAAGAGGATAATCAGGGCAGCAAGAAAATATCCATGAAGTATTTTGGATTAGCCCACAGTTTTTATCAGGCTAAAATGGAAGTAAAGCTTCTTCTGTAAGCAAATCTTGTAGAATTGTAAAAGAACTGTAAGATCTGTGAGTTGCTTTTCATTATAACAGCCTTGTCTTCATCTACAGCACCTGATAAGCTCATGCTTGTTTAAACAGCTGCCAAAATCTGCCATGTTAGTCATATGGGATCTCACTGAGATAATTACCATCCTGCTCCAACAGTGGTAGAGTATGGGAAAATTCTAACATTCAGTGATTAAGTAAAACATGCCATGTTGTAGTATTTCCCCAAAGAAATTGCCTGCTGCTTCCTAGCACACTTCTGATGGATAGAAATGATTATGTTTACTGAATATCGTATGCTAATGACCTTCTTAAGGTATCAGAGTTGTTTTCTTATCTGTCCCAACACTAGCAGTTGTGAAAAGTAGTTCAAACATAATCAAAGTATGAGAGGGGCTCTGCAACTCATCTAAGTCATGCTGTGCTTCTGCCCTAAAATGTGATGTATTGAAGAACAGTAGTTTAGTGATTGACAAAGAGATGACTGCACACAGCAGTTTTAAAAGAATTATACTAAGTGAACATTTGATCTGTTGAAATCAATAAAAAACAGTTAGAGCATCCAGAATTTCTGCTAGTCTGAGCTCACCAATAATTGTTGCTAAATTACTATGTTTAGTGGGGGGGGGGGGGGGGAAGACAGCTACAAATGCCTTCTTTTCCTAAATGTCATGTACAGTTAGTGTTAGTGTCCTGCAAGCTCCTTGATGGCAGAAGAAAAATATTTGGGGATGCTTGTTCATCATGTCCAGTATTTTGTGGGGAAGAAAAAGTGAAAGACTTTTATGCTTACTTTATATGGATTCTCCCTTGCAGAAATGGGCACAGCCTGGCACAGGTTAACAGCAGTTTCTCTTACAGAAACCAGGGCACTGTATAGTTTAATAATGAAGCCAAATTGCTTTCTCAGAATCCTTTATTTATTCCAGGTATAAAGTGGACTGCAGCATTCCCAGCAGCTTGTTATTTCTCTTTGTAATGATAATTCACTTTCTTATGTCAGTCATTTGTCACGTGGTGGCTTGGTGGTCGTATGTATGACGTCATTTACTTGGACTTTTAGGAGTGACATCATATGTACGGCTGCTAAACTGCTGCATGGGACATCAAACTGTTTTCTTCTGAAGAATTCAGTGCATTTTTAAGCAATGATCACATTGATTATTGTGAATTATTTATTTCTCCTTAATAAAGAATGTTTTTAAATTAATGAGGCATTCCTTTATTGTATAAACAGCATCTATATTTCCATCTGAAGTATCTGGTGAATGGATGGGAAGGCTTTTTAATGTGCATTAATGAACAATGAACATTTAAAATTTGTTCCATATTTTATAGATTCAATATTTGTAGGTAGTTGAAGTGAAGATTAATTGACTTTGGCTTTTTTGTGGTACAAATGTGTCTTTTAAGTCTTAATTTCTAAAATACATTGACATAACAATCAAAACATAGTAGAAGAAGTGAGTCGAAATTATTAATTCCATGAGAATTTATACAAACACTGATACACAGATATTCATGGAACATTCCCAACCTCTCCCATTAACACAATACAGACTAAACTTTCTCTCCCATGTAGCTATACCCAAGCTCCTGCTACTTCTGAAAAGAGAATAATGACCCAGAGATGTCTTCCTGCCCCATTTGTCTTTTTCTGACTGCTACAGTATAGAGTGAGGGAGACTAAAACAAGTGATAACATCTGGCATCACAAACTGCATCAAAACTCTTATCTGACTGAAGGCAGGTACATAAAGGCTGGATCATCAGCCCACTGGACTGACTTTGGGGGATCAGGCTTTAAATTCTGGGTGGTAGACATGGGGATTCTCTTTTGTATGGTAAAAACCCCAGTATTTGAAACAGGGATATGACTTCTCCACCTCCAGCAAGCCACAAAATTTATATTTCATTAATCTGCTGAAGTGGTAATCTGATTTAAATGGAGAAGAAAATTGTGTTCAAGCTTCCAAGGCCAGCTTTTCAAATCTAGGTAAACAAAAATGAGGAATAGCAATCAAAGGAAAGAGTAGATTTAAAGGGCATATCACAGATGAATAATCCCAGTGACATACCTATGTATAACCCCCTAATTTGATTTCACACACAAACTATTCAATTACATAAAAAGTGCCAGGAAATATTTTTGGGGAATTACCTTTGGAAATCTGAGTAATTGTGTTTAGTAGAAAGGAAAAGAAAAAAGAAAAAACAAATTTGAGACAACTATAAATCTAGTGTTATTATTCCAACTCTTATCCAAACTTGCTTTCATTTTACCGGAGGCCATTAGTGATTTCCACTGATGAGTTTTAGTGACAAAGCTCATCCATATTTTTATCTGTCTGAGAAACTTCTGGCCTAAATGTGGGCAGTAGAAATTTTGCTGGCAATTTCAGCTGCTCCACGATTGCCTTGTGCAGGGGCAGTAGAATTAGCCTCCTGCTTGCATGGCTGAGCACTCTTACATAATTTTGTACACAATGCAAGACATTTAATCTATCCATCATCACACGTACTCTCTACTTCCAAGTGTCAGAATATTCTCATTAAACTTTACCCAACAAGAGCCAACTTCTTCAGGAATTAAACACTGCAAGTAACAAAACCATCTATAAGAATACTGCTATTTTAGTGTCCAAATTGTGTTTCACCCCTCAAAATCATCATCCCACACATGTATGTGTTCACAAACTGGCCCAGAATTGCAGAGAAATTATCAAGAAGAAGGCATTGACACAGAAGTCCTCCTGGCATCCTGTGATGAAACTGTTATTTCTGTCTTGAGTACAAACAGTTTGGAACTGTGGTATTATTCAAAATAAGAATGGGAAAAAATAGCATGCAACACCTACTAATCACTTCAGAGAAGCACCAGTGCCTGTGTCATGGACATAGACACGAAGGGCTAAGACAAAGCTGAGGTTGTCTGAAGAACCTCATCTCCACTTTCCTGTGCTGGATTTAGGATTTTGCTTGGCTGTTTTTTAAACTATTCTTGGGGACTCCAGCTGCTCCCCTTAGTCTTTTTAAAGCTAAGGGATCTGTGATGTTTGTCTTTGCTTCCGTATTTCCTGTTCTGACTTTCTAGATACTTAGTTTTTCACTTGGATGGCCAGATGAAATGTTTCAAATGGCTTCATTGTCCAAATATATCTTGAAGGGAGGGGGAGAGGGTGATGTATACATGCATCTAAAATTTATATAGCATTATCTCTGCCAGAAAATATTTTCATTCTTATTCCTCCTACTTTTATTTCAAGCACCTACTTAAGTACAACAAGATTAACTGCCTCCATGTCCTCCAGCTAGCAGGTGTATACAGTTGAAAACTTCTGTGTCAAAAGAGATGGTGAATGAGATGCGATTGAGATGAGATAAGATGAGATGAGACTATAAAAACATAATTGATTTGATATAAGAGTATAAAAAGATTAAACTGACATGGTATGATACAGAAGCTCAGGATAAAAGTAACGGCTTTTTTTCAATGAAGTCAAACACGCTTTGGTTTTGCTGTGTATTTACAAGGGTGATTTAGCATGCAAATGGGGAGGAAAAGTAATGTATTGATGGAATACAACTGCCTGTGATGTGACATAAGAAAGGGACAGCAAAATGTAAGGAGTAAGCCGATATTTGAACTTTCAAACCTGTCATGTTTTAAGTTCAAACAACTAAAAAATGCATGCCTAAAGATCTCTGTATTAGCATTTGCTGTTAAAAAGGTCAAGTTTGTGTGTTTACAAGAGTCCTAGATTTTGAAGCAGCCTGCAAATTAATCTGGATGTGTTTGTGATGGCTTTAGTACCATTTAGTACAGGGGAAAACAGAGGGTCATGCTAGGAAAGTGCTACAACGATGTTGTTTATGAGTGGGGAAGCAGAGGAACTCATCTTTTACTATCACCTTCAAGCAAAGAAGAGTCATGATACAGGATTGAGGCAGAACAGAAGAAACTAAAGCTCCACACTTTCATTTCCATTCACAGACCATGGCTGCACAAGGCGGGGAGGGAAGGAGGGATGGATGGATGGATGGATGGATGGATGGATGGATGGATGGATGGATGGATGGATGGATGGGTGGATGGTAGGCAAAAGAATATAACTGACCTCTCTAGTTGAGATCTTTGCCTTCCAAAGGCAGTGATCCTTTCCTTTAACAGGCAAGCAGTTCAGAGTGGGATCATTCAGAAGATGCCAATATATCAAAGAGGACCTTGCTATTTAGGCTATCAAATTTAGGGAGTCTGCTTGGGTACTGAACTAGGAGCTAAGGTATCATGGTTTAAACTCTACCTTCTTTGACCTTAACTGTTGCAGAAGCTCAAAGCAAAGGTTGTGGCACTGAGGTATTTTGTCTGCACTGTCTAGAGTTAAATAAGCACAAGTGAACAGAAATACATGGGTTTAATAGAAAATTTTCTTGAAGACACTAAATTAAATTAAAATATTTTGATGACTTTATCAAGTATTTAATGACCCTCTCTTCACCAAGAAAAATGGCTTGGTTAAAATATTATGTGTTCATGAGGTAAACTAATAAAAATCAGCATTTACTTTGTAAGTAGTACAAGGCCCATCATAATGATAAACATATATGCAAATAAAAGGCCTTTCAGGAATGAGTAAAAGAAATTTCTGGTCCTCACTTGTTTAAAATTCAATCCCCTTTGTTTATCCAGTTGTACTAACAGCTTTTCCTTTCCATACAGAGAATTGTTCCAAGTCTTTCTTCTACTGTAAATTATACTGATCCTACATTAGAGCCTGTAGTAACTGAAAATTCAGTCATACGGCAGAAGATAATAGATTCGCAGTTCAAATGTTATGAGAGGATGAACAGAGCTCCTCCATACAAGAAAAAAGGTAAAAAGGGTTTTTTAAGAATCTGTATTTTGCTCAGTGTGGTTATATAACTATAAAGAAATATTTTCTTCTCTATACTAACCCATAGTCTTCCTCAGGGTGCAGTTTCCTTTCACAAGCAGTAATCAAATTCACACTTAGCATCCTGCTAAGTGCAAAGAAAGGAAAAAGTCTGGAAGGAGCTCAGGGAATAACAGCTCTTCCTTCCTCTGTCACCTACATTTCTGGCTCAGTACTTTGCTGCTTGAATCTCTCTTGTTCTTGTTTGTGGAATAACATTTTCCTGAACTTCTCAGCAAGGTCACACCTGATTGTGAATCCTAAATATAAATGTTTTTCTGTTTGCTCCATTCAGTGTTTCAATTTTTTGCCATGTGTGTATTGACTGCTGGGTATTGTGCTCTGTACCAGCACAAGTTCCACATATTCTATATTTGGCAGCAACAAAAGGAAAAAGAGGTTTATAAAACACCGAGACTTATAAAAGAGGTTTGTAAGACATCTTTATTGAATACAAGGCATAGGTGAAGATAATAAAAAGGGAAATGACATATAATAGTGGTGCTGCAATTCCATTTAATGCAACATTTCTGTTTGGGACTGAGAGTTTTGGTCATTTTTTCTCACACAAGATATGAATGAAGATATGAGGAGCTAGAGAAAAAAATATCACAGGAACTGTGAGACATTTGCAAGCAAACAACAGATAATGAGGACATAGTTTAAAGGGAAAATATATTTTAAACAATTAACAAAAACACCTAACCTAATAGTGGTGTTGCAGATAATGTGGGATTTTTTGTAATACAAGAATAAAGACATTTCTACTGCTCTTATCTTAAAATTTTTACAGGGATCTGTAAGACTCAAACAAGAGTTAAATATTAAGATAGATAATCAGGTATTGATGCAGAAATATTTGGGAATGAATATAGAGATTCCCACTGCTTAAAATAGGTTTTAATTCAGGTGAATAATACCCACAAGCAGTTAAACAGGATTGTTGGATACAAGGAATGACGTTTCAGTCATAAATAAGCCTTTTAGTTGCTGGACTTGCAGGGGAAGTAACTTACTGTTTCTTGTTAGATTACTCTTTTAGTCTCTACCTCTATAAACACCAGATTTTTGCATCCATTGACAGTGATCACTGGATTGACCTTTCTTTTGCACTTTCCTTGTATGATAAGTTGCAAAGGGTTGATTTTTCCATCACGAGCTGGGAATCCTTAGGTATTAAGACATGAATTCCTAGTAGAGTTCTCAAGGGCAATGCTATTGCAGGAGGACAGCCTGCATTGCATTCTTCAGCTGGCAGCTAAATTTAAGTGATGCCATTGAGGGCTGCTGGTTCATGGCAACATGCACTTAAGTAATTTATAACTCAGAGTGAGGATAATGGGTGACTACAGAATGGTGCCAGCTAAACTGAAGTTGTGTTCTGAGCTGAAGACATAATAAAACGAGGAGCTCAAGCATATGGAAACACATGACCACCCCTCCAGAACAGCAGTGTGTGCATATATATGTATATGTATACAGAGATAGATAAAGATAAATGTGAGCATATATATATATATATGTATATATCCTGATAATTACCTTGGAAGATTAGCCCATGATGCATAGATTGACCTATGTGATTATTTTTCTTTATCAAGCCAGGCAAAGGATTTAAAGTTTTAAAACTACATATTCCCTCCAACTCCATTTGGCACTACTTTTCAAAAACAAGCTCAAATTGCAATCACTTTCTACTCTTCTTCTTCTTTGATATTACAAAAATGTTCCTAAAAGTTTTTCAGATGCATTTCAAAGATCTAGAAGAACATGACAATGCCTGAAGGAATGATAACAAACTGCTGACACGATGATTGGTTAATTAAGTGAACAAGTAACATTAGCACATTTAACTTAACTGAAAAATATATGTGCATAAAATCTTAGCTAATGAAGAAAAAATGTAGATAAATTTTTTTTTTCTGAAGATCTAATCTGGAAAAAGTAGGTTTTAAATCTTATGGTTTTTATTTTTAATCAACAACTACTTGATTTACAAACAGTTATGGGTGCAAGTTGGAGCAATTCAGATTTTTTTTACAGCTTTCTTGCTTCAATTAGAAAGTTTATCTGTGGATAGTTTGAAAAGCTCTAGAAGTGACTAACTACCCATATGTTAAGAGCTTGCAGTGGTTATTAGCCAACATTCATTTTAATACTTCCTCATGCCCAGAGTGAAAAAAAGCTAAAATGTATCTTCTCATTCTGTTTCACTTTAACCTGATGATCTTGGTGGCAAATACCTTTTCCCCAACACAAACTGGTTTTGAATGGAAAATAACCAGGAAAGGTAAGGGGGGTTTAATATGTTTCTTGTATAAATCCACAATGAGTCATGGTACACATTGCAGGAAGCAGGCTTAGAGAACAATTTCTGAGGACCATGGCATGTACAATCTCTGTAGTGGGGGTCAGCAATGACCTGTGTTCTGCTTCCCAGCTTTGCTGCTGTTTGGGGGCTGGGAACATCCCACAGCCTCAACAGCACCACCCTTCCCAGAAGGGGCATGACAAGGACAGGATCACAACATGCCTACCAAGAGAACATCAACAGGCAGAGTCTGCCTGCTGCGGGTCAGTCTTGCACCTGCTTCACTGGGTTTGTAGTTACATCACCAACCTCTGGTGTTGAACAAGGCAGCAGCCTGACAGGGACCTGTCTCTGATAATGTTGACTTAGCTGGGATGTCTCCACAAATGTTTCCTATCTTTACATTTCAAACTGATTTTCAGACCTGCTGAGCAGCAAAAAGTGAAACAAAAAGTGTATGTCTCACAAGTCTTTGTGTACCAGTGTACATACCTCTAGTGTACATACTTAGAGCTGACAGAAAGAGAATCAAGAAGAGAAATTTGTAGGATTGGACCCTACATTCAAAGTTCAGTTCAACATGCTTTAAAATGTAAATTTCTGGTAAAATGAACACCACTAACATCAGGTCAATAAAAGCAAGTACCTTCTAGTTCCTGAATGCCACTCTGAGTGTTACAATAATAAAAAAATATATTACAAAAAGAAAACTTGATTGCCTGCAGGCAGCAATAATCCTCGAGAGGCTAGAATATAATGGTTCAGGAGGGAATTAACACCTTTTGTGGAATTAACTCTTACAATCTTCTTAAATGTCCAGGTCTGTTCTGCAACCGAACATGGGATGGCTGGTTGTGCTGGGATGACACACCTGCTGGAAGGCTCACTGCTCAGAATTGTCCTGATTATTTTCCAGACTTCGATCCAACTGGTAGAGTATTTCTTTTTACCATTTTATCTATCTCTAAAGGATGTCTTCAGAACATTTGTGCCATTGAGTGGATGTGCTCAATCCAGGAGCATTTTTGCAGCTCTGTGAAATCTCAGAAAATTTGGTTGAAACTAAAACACATCAAGCTTTTGGTTTCTGTAATTAGCATATTTTAATTTTTAAAATATGTTATATTTATTTATATTTATGTAAATGTAACCAATGGATTTATAGAACCTGGTTTATGAAAACGTCAGCTTCTGAATTACAACATCAAGCACCTCATTCTAAGTTTTTTATAATGAAGAGAAGATGCTTATGTGCTTGAAATATGTATCAGTTTGTTCTTTGTTCAGTTTTTATTGGAAAATATAATTTTATGACAGAAGATAAGCAGAAAAAATGTTCTTTCATTCTCTGAGTTTCAGTCCTTAGCTGAATCATTCATGCAAATACTAGAAGTTGACTGAGACAAGTAAATGAAGAATCTTTAAAAGAAAAAATGAAAAATCAATGCAAGTATTTCTAAATAGATATGAGGAAATATTAGACACAAGTTTAACTCTGCAAAAAGTACTGTTTGAAGAGAGACACAATTGTGTGTTCCTTGCTCAGAACACGTTGCTTCTAGGTGGTGCTTGATGGCACAGTGTGCTAAATTCAACATAGTCACAATGCCCCACTTGCAGTTAAAATCTAAGAAATTAAACATTTGGGAGAGAGGGTGCATAAATCTGAAAATTTTCAGCAAGCTTAACCCAAATGCATGTGCCCAACTGGAAATAAAGGAAGCAAACTATTGCATAGCTGTGAGTTAATTATCCAGCACCATTAGCTAAAACTGTTGATTTTTTGAGCTTATTGCTTATTTAGAAACTGAGGAGTTTCCAGGTTGAATCAAACCCCGTACACATTTTGCTGAATCTCATTTACAATACCAGCCAGATTGATTGTTATTTCTGTTCTTCATAAATCAAGCTGTCCATAATTAAAGAATTCAGCAAGTTGCAAATTTCCAACATCAGACCTAGTCTGACCTCCATTCAATCTCTTGTGAAGGAATGTTCCTCTTTCTAATGGAAGTAGGCATCGGACAGGATGGATTGAAGGAAATCTGTTTGCTCAGGAATCCTGTGCTTGGAAAGTGAGTTGAAACTAAAAGGTCACTATTCTCTTCCTGTGGAAACACCCTGAGACCAACCCAATACATCTTTACAGCAAGTTAGACCCCTGAGACAGACAATGGGCACCAAATCATAAGGTCTTGTCTTTTGTGCCCTTTCTTCACAAGACTTGATCTCTTTTCTGTACAGTGTCATAGTTTTCAAGAAGGAGCCTTGGAGCAGGGTCACGCTCATGGCTCTTCATTGGAGCGCCTGGGGACAACAGACTGAGAAGCTGAGACCCTCAACTGCAGGGCTGCCTTTCACTCAGGTCTCCATCTCTGTGGACCAGTAGGCTATTTGCACAAAAGAGTCCAAAAGAGCATTTTAGAAGAATTGGACAAACTTGGTTCAGTTCCCACACAGAAGTGCCCAAATTCAGGAACGAGCCTGAGACTCCGAATCCTGAGGTTGCACAAGATTTTTCCTGCATGCATATTAAAACTGCCTCTGAGATGTGGTCTGTACCTTCTTCTTCAGACCCCATTTTACTCATTATATCCTTCCCACACAGCAACAGCCCTCCTTATGACTAGGAAGATTTACTACAAGTCTTTTCCTTTCCCTGCTTCCATGGTTTTCAACTAAGAAAAAAATATATGGCACTAACAGTCTTAATTTATGTATACTCCATGCAATGCTCAGCTTGTACCTGCAAAGGTGGGTGATGGGCAGCCTTGTGATCACAGAAATGACTGAAGGTCCTCATCCTTCATACATGGGGGTGATTTCAGAGCCACTCTCCTACTTGCTCCCCAACCAACTATTCTCAGCTTTTCCTCTTGCCTGTCTCCAGTGACTTGTTCTGAAGTAATTGCTCTGCTACAACAGCACTCTTTAAAGAAACACTTGAAGCCATCCATGGAGAAGCATCTCACTCCACTTACTAATGTTCCTTAACAGCAAGGCCTGTGGCTTGTACAGTGATTGCAAATCACTCCTTAATGTACAAATGCTTGTCATGAAGTCTGGCCTACAGTGTCATACTGCAGTTCCTCTTTCTGGCAAGATTTAAAAGTTGAAATTTGGGAATTTTTTTTAGTATTCCTGTTCTCTGTACACAGCCATAGGAAGAAAAGTCTCCTCCAGTAATTAATTTCCTAGTGTTCTCTCTGCTGTCCTCTATAGGAGCAATACCTGTGGTCTTCTGGACCCAGAATTTTTCTTTGACACATTTCTCTTCTCCTCGTCAGCGCCTCTGTCAACCTCTTTGCCTGCATCCTGGTCAGTCAACCCTGTTTCCCAGTTTTGGCAGCAGCTCAGCATCTCGTGGTTGAGCCAGAGCTGCTTTCCTAGAATAGCTGCTGAGTAACCCAGCATGTGTTACAGATGTGGCATCAAACCAGTGGGTAGTCAGCCTTGCTTTACAGGTGGCTGGTTGTCACACAGAGACTTAATAAAGTAGGAGGGAGACAAGAAATAAGGGGGGATGTCTACAAGTCTGTCAGCTGCTAATGAAAGTGGCTGCCACTACCAGGTGGCCAAAAGCACAGACTGAACTGTCCTGAGAAGTCTATCAGGTTTTGTATCACAAGTCATTATTTCCTTTGGTACCTTATTCATGTTAAACAAAATACATTCCACTTTTCTGCTGAAAAACAGAAACTTCATCCTAAAAAATAGCAATTTTCCATGATGAAAACTGTAGTGACTGTCAAATTTCCTCCCCATCGAGTCTCTGATATCCAAATGCCTCAGTATGTGGCATATATGGAAGTAACCCCATGGATTTCTGAAATAAGTATTTCATGCGGTGTTGTTTTGGGCTGCACCATGATCTGCAAAACCACGCGTATCAGCTAATTGATGGCTATGTCACTTCACTAAGATGCCATGTATAGCTTTGAAACCTGGAATAAAATAATGTCTTTCCTCTGTATTTTTTGCTTTGACACATCATTTATAATTGGAAAAGTGAAACAATATTGTCAGCATAGGATCGAATCCTGCTCCCATCTATATCTGTGGGTGCCAAATACCAGCCCTCTGTATCTGATTCCCAACAACATTCAGCACCGATGCCAAGAAGAAATTGATGGAGTATGTCAGAAAGTAAAAAAGGTGAAATTGTATTCTGAAGAAAAGAACACAAACAAAGTGAAGGAGAACATGCTCAGTGCTCAGTTCATTTTCTGTCTGACAACTTCACAGTTAGCTACCAAGTGTAGTCCCACCTATTTCACTGAACTTAGATCAGTTCTTACTAGACAGGAATCTGTGTTCTGAAAGAAACAATCTCTTTCTCGCAGTGCACATCATGCACAATGTGATAATGCATAAAAACAAATCAATTTGTCTGGAAAACATAACAAGACCTACTGCTTTATGCCAGTGACAGCAGGAAATTCATTGTCTCATCCTTTTCTGGCTGTGAAGCTCTGAGCGGGGCTATTTTATATGCTCCTATTCAGGCAACATGCCATTCTCTCAAATTGTATTTTATATTCATATTTTAGACAGGTTAATCTTTCGTATAATCCCTCTCAAATGGTTCCAGATCACACTGAAATTGGTAGGAGTTTAGTTTTTGAGGAATTCAGTATGAAATTCATGCTGGCAATATTCTTACTAATGAAAAAAAAAAATAAGAAAGAACATTGTGGATATAATGGCCTTTAGCAAGGCAGGTTTGCCAAGGGCAACAGGAAGAGCTGAGCCTTGCCCTGTGCCACCTGTGGGCTGTTAGGTTTGTGGCATGGGAGTCCTACATTGCCCACCTCAATGTCCCTGTACAGTGCATTTAGTCAGGATAATTTTGGTGCAGTCATATAGCAAGAGAGCCAAATGTGGAAGTTTTTTTTGTGGCTGACACCCCTTTTCATCTCAGTTTCACTCTCTTTACTTTTTGGCAGAAAGCAGTGTTTAAGGGCAGCATCCACCCCACTTTGTGAACCAAAGGTGCATTTAGCAAAACTCCCTTAAGTTCTCTGCTTTTTTGGGTTTCTGTCTTTGGTTCCATTTTGAAAACTATTACTCATAACTCTTCATGTAGTTCCAGGAGAAGAGCTTCTAGAAGTGCAATTTGGAAGCAAATCCATAAGTAATTAGATTATTATTAATCAGATTATGATTAATGTGCTGTTGCCTCTTACAACTGAAGAACATGCCTTTCCTTCCTGCTGTGACACTGTGAGAAGACTTCTTTTGCTGCCACAAAATCTAAATTTTGACTGCTTTTAACTAATATAGATAGTTCTGGATTTCTGCTTGTCCTATTTTCTGATCTTGAAGGATATACTTTAGACAATTAGGAAAAGACAAATCTGAACTCTTTGTCCAGCTGCTTCTTTTCTCCTTAACCTTCTCTGTATTTCTGTCCTCCTCCTTACCAAGTTTGACATCTGTGTCTTACAAATCAATTCCTATCCCCATACTGCCCAATATCACTCTTATACAGATTCTAGCTCTGTTGTCTAAGACATTCTGAAGACAGTGATAATCCTTCATTTACTAGGACACTGGAATTGAAGTTTTCTAGGATCTCCATTGCATTATATGAGATTATTTTTTTCATTTTTGAAAAAGTTTCTTCCAGAACATTTTACCGAATATGTGAGTAAATCAGATGTGCAACATCAACTATTCCTTCATCTGCAAAAGTAAGCACTGCACAGGTCTATCCAAACAATAGCAAAGAATTGAGTGTCTGGTATGTGCTGAGCATGACTGCAACAGGGGAGAACTTCTTTCTCCTTCCATCTTATAAATGAGCAATAAACAAAAAACTGATGTTGGCTCCTTTAACATCTGCTAGCTATAGCTCTGGTCTAATTGTGAAAAGCCTGATTGATAGTGCTATCATGTTATTCCAGAGATATTAAGATATTTGTTACATATAGATGACTTAGGGTTTTTTAATCAGCATATGATTCATAAAACACTATTTGTGGCACAAGCAATACCCATGCAAATAATTGCTACTGGTTAATCTTTCAAGACACTTCACTGCTCCCACAAAACTTCCTTTGTGGATGAGATTGCTTGCATCCATTTTTCCCAGACAGTTCTTGAAGTGTCTGTCTCTCTCAGTTAACTGCAAAGATTCTGCACAGCTGCCTATGAAATATGTAACTTCAAGGTTCCTACAATCAGGTGAGATCAGTACAATGTGATGTCACTGTTCTTCCACTTTGAATAATGCAATGCCTAAGCAGTGTCCCATCCTAGCTCATAAGGTGCAGACAGAGCCTAAAAATTAGTGTTTACACAGTATTTTAATAATCTCAAAGCCCATACTTTCATTTAGCCATGCTAGTGTTGTCTTACCCATCCTTGCACATGTGCATTTTTTCAGACTTTACCATATCTTCTGGTTAGCACAAAGAACCAACACATGCCCAGGTTCAATATCCCCCACCTGCTACTGGGCCACTCTAGAATAACTTGCAGTGTAACAGTGGTTGGATTGCAGCTTTGTTTCTGCATAAAAAGATAGATTTAGAAGAGATGTTTGACCTGTTTGAGTCACTAGGATGGACAGTAAAGAGTGCTTATTCTCCAGTTGTGTATTCTCAAATCCATGGCACATCGGCACTTTCAGAGCAGGATCAGTTTTTAGTAGGATCAGGTTTGTCTGGCTTTAAGGAAAAGTATGAGGTGAAAGGTTTGTCTCTAACTTACAGAGGCCACATTATACTCTGGCAGAGTGCCTACCCAGGCACTGAAGTACAGAGATGATGGATGACATTGCCATACATTCTCTGTAGCAGATTAACAAAAGCCGTGCACTTCACAGAGTGCGCGGGATAATCAGTGCAACGCTTGCACACTGTGTTCCATGGCAGCACAACCATTAATCTTTCATCTGTGACTGAAAACTTTTTCCAGCTTTTGATAGCATCTGGCAAGGAGTAAAAGGGAACATTGCTACATGGGCAGTCTGCGATTATCTCCAAGCTTCAGCTATGGAAGGCTAAAATAACATGTACTGCTCCTCTTGGTATTGTCAATGCAAGTATTGATGTTTAACACGTCCCCCAAAACAATTATTTGAAATCCACGATAATTTCAAAAATTACTGTTGCTGTGTTCTGGAAGATTTTTTTTTCTGCAATGGTACTGTATAAAGTGTATTTATAGTCAGAGTAAAATAACTATGTCTCGCTCCTCTTGGTATTGTCAATGCGCGTATTGATGTTTAACATGTCCCCCAAAACAATTATTTGAAATCCACAATAATTTCAAAAATTATCGTTGCTGTGTTCTGGAGGATTTTTTTTTTCTGCAAGGGCACTGTATAAAGTGTATTTATAGTCAGAGTAAAATAACTCTGTCTATACTATCTTTACCTTACCCATAGGATCAGTTCCTTTCTTTAGGCTTTAGGAGTATGAATCTTACAAATTAATAGAACCATTAATCATCAGATGAAGAAAAGCAAGTGGGAACGTTAACCACAAAAAATGAAAATGTGTTATGTTCAAATGCCTATAGGCTCTGTAAAAGTGTATTGACTGGAAATGCTGATAATCTAAGCATAAAACTAACCAAATTATAGAGCTAGAAAAAGCAAAGATAGACTTTTCAGACTATTTTAAAAGTCAGAATTAAAAAAACATGTTTTTCATAAGTCTCTGTGTCACTATCTAAGAAAACATAAAATAATTGTTTATTATTTTAAAAGTTTATGATCTTATCCTGTCTTTGTTATTTGGGCAAACGTTCCAGTGACCCCCATGTGGCTAATGCTTGAGGAAAAGTCAAAGGAACTGGCCAAAACTTGACATGTGATTAGGAGTGACCATCTGCACCTCAGCGTCCAGGGTGTCCCCAGCGGGCATGTGAGCCTGACGGAGGGACGCAGGCACAGCACACACCTGCAGCTCCAGGCATCCCACAGAGCTGTGCGCTGCAACCAGGGTGTCCCCAGCAGGCGTGTGAGCACACGCCTGCATCTCCAGGCATCCCACAGAGCTGTGCGCTGCTGAAGCCCTGCTGTCACCCACCACAGCAAGAGCACGTGCAGAGGAACACGACCTGGAGCACCATCCATATGGCAGGGCTGTCAGGAAGGATGCCAGAGCCACCTGTGGTGAAGGAGCCAGCACCAGAGACATCTGTGCAGAGGCCAAAACCACATCAGATTACTGAAACAGAGAGCTCTGCAGCCATCTTAAATTAAACTGGACATGTGGGACCAGTGCCAAAACGTTTGTCAGGCTGCTTGTCTCTGTGCCTGCATGCTGTGCAGACCATGAGGAGAGCAAGCAATGCTCCCACTCTGCATGTCAGGATTCCACTGGTGGGGAGGCTGGGAGAAACTTTTCTACACCTCTACCCCCTAGCCTGGGGCTGTTGGCATCTCCAGCACCCAGGCTCTGGTTTATGCATTACTGCCCTTTATTTGCACAATATTTTTAACTCGTTTAACCCTGATACTTGAACCCCTGCACACTTCCTTCAGGTCTGGCATCAGCACCTGTGGTTATTTTCTCCTCCATAAGCTTCTGTCAACAGCTTCTTTAAATGGATTATTATCAACTAGATATTGTGTCTGAATGAAGACTGAGATATATACCCAAGGAGTGCAGTGAAAAAGGAGGCAGCTAAACAAGTTTACCACCAGAAAAGTCTCAGAAAAAAACCAAAACAACCAAACAGCAAGATGTATATTAATTACATAAGTTAAAAATAATTTTGATTCCATTACACACATATTTTATTCCCAAACAAAGAAGTTATTTTAGATGGGGTTTTTTAAGTCATAATATGCATATATTAAAATAACTATTATTGCAATTTATCATCAGAGAGGGCCTCAAAATATTGTGATGAAACTGGAAATTGGTTCCGCCATCCTGAGAGCAACCGAACTTGGTCCAACTACACCCTGTGCAACTCTTTCACCTCTGAAAAATTGAAGGTATGCTGAACATAAAGAGGCAATGGTTGTTTGACAATGTTTTGGGCTGAACTAGCAATAATACATGTGAGAGAGACCAGAATAGTCCTATCTTTCAGCTTTATTTTTTGCACAAGACTTAAATAACATTGCTCTTGAGATTTTAGCTTATCCAAATTCTTCAATGAGTGCTCAAACATCAATACTGGTTTGCTATGAGATGGATAATTTAGTGGTAATTCATGTGACAAGTTTTGCAGTATTTTTCAGAGGCATTTTTAATTCCTATGATTTTCCTTGACTGACCTACAGTTATGAAATAAACTTTTAGAGCCTAAATTTTGCTTTCTGTAACAATAATATTCGAAGATGTTGATGTCTTCTCTGCAGGGCTAATAATATTAATGTAAGTCAAAATTATTTTTCTTAAGCAAAGAGTATTACCCTGTACTCACACTCCTTGAAAAAATATTTATGAAGGTACCATTAATCCAGAAAATCTTACAAGCATGAACACATTTAACTTTGACTTTTACTGAAGTAACTGAGAGTATTTACAATAATGAATTAAGTATTTGTATCAATATTTCCAAAATCAAGGTGCTAAACTGAAAGAGAAGAACTAAATATAAAAGCACCAAAAGAAATGAGGAGACAGATATCTGGGAAAAGCTTTTAAAAATTAAGTTAGGGAAGCTCATAAAAATAAATGTATTTCTCAAATGCAAGTGGAGGTCAAGGAAAATCTGATTACAGAATTGTGACAGAATAATTTGTGACTATATGGAAGAGTGGAAGGAAAAGATTCAAGAAGTGATTTGATTTGGGGTTTGTGTTGGAGAACCTCTTCTTATACAGCCAAAAAGCAGTATGCAGGTAACTCAGCCCAAAGGGCCTTGGAAAAGTCTGTTAGACTAGGCAGGAGGTGAATTTTAAGGGTTTTTGCAATGTGACAAACCATCATGGTAAAATGAGGCTCATCTATGTGACAAGACAAGAATAATAGTAACAATATAAGCTTACAGAGGCATTACGTGGAAGCACCATAAATATATATTTTTTCCAGATGTTGGCACATGTAAGGAGGCAAAAAATGTGATTCTGTTACCTATTATCCATGCCTTCCAGAAGAAGAACTTTGAACATCATTCATGCAGAGAGCAGATAGAATAGAAAGGAAAATTTTATGCACATCGTGATTTTTCTGAAATGAACATTTTGGAAAATGCACAAAGAATCTAATCTTAGAGAAATGCCAAGTTAGTATATGACCTTTAAACCAAGTCTTCAGTAAACAGAAATGTGCTTCATTTGTAGACTATTTCCACTTACCTACACATAATATACTCACTTTACTGAGTCAAAGGTATTACTCTTAGATAATTCTCTTCCCTCAAGTGAAGAAATCTAGAGGAAAAAGGAAGAACATATAAGTTTTCTAAATCCTGGTTAAAAAATCTGAACAAACAAAAATTGTAATGAGTCAGCATGTTGTATAAGTCTTATGTGTCAAGCAAAGCAGAAATTAGTAAAAGCGCTCATTATTTGTTTGAAGTTAACTGAAAATATCAATATGCTATATTTTTGAGACAGATCATTGGAAAAATATTATAGCCAGTTCTTTAAAATGTAATGATATATGTATGTTTTGTTAGCTGACATTTCAGTCCATTTTGATCTGTCATCATTGTTATATTTTAAGGCTTTTTTAAGCATTTGTCATAGTAAATTTGTAGGATGCAATAAAAAAGCAGTTGCTGAGTCCCAAATATACAGTTACTTTAGCACTTGAGAACAGAAAGATAGATAGATAGATTGAATAACCAAGAATCCTCCAGGGTGTACATAAACTTGCATGTAACTATCTGGAGATCTTTCCTACTTGTAGATATTTCAGGCTATATGTCATATAAAAGATAGGTAGAAAAAAATATACTTTTGAACAGGTAATCTGTAAATTAAGTTCAGGCTTTAAGAATATATCCATTTAATGTCATTAAAAAACACAGTAAACATGTAGTATGAAGTGGAACAAATGTCACACGTACACAGGTAAGCCTCTCCCACTACTCTGTATTGGAGAAAGTTGTCTCATCTTCTCCACTCTCAGGCCTGTCCTCTCTGGGATTGCTGGTGCTCTCAGAACAGGTCATTAAGCATTTGTGCTCACTAATAATGCAATGGTTAGTCTTTTTGAAGGATAACTAGGAGACCTAGGTATTTTCAGTAAATATGAATAGTTTTCCATAGCTTGGTGAAGGGTATTTACACTCAGATCATGTCTCTTCTGCGTGGTCAGATCAGTGTAAATGTGACTCTGGTTTAAATCTGAATCAGGCCACCACCACCTAGGTTAATGAATGCAGAAGCTTATTTGAAAGTTACAAAATGTCTTGACACCAAATTACGGAAGATGTGTGCCTTTACTAAGAGGAATGGCTTTGCTTTCTGAATTGTTTTTATATTTGTTCTCAAGGGAAAGTTTAAAATTCCTTGGAAGCACCAAAAAGATGTGAGTGTCAAAACTTCAAGCTACAAAAAGCAATTCATCTAATCACTGAGAAGAGGAAAATTGCTCATGCATAGCAAAATAAAAATGAATGAAATAGAGCTGAAAAGAGAATAAACCCAGCAGAGGAATTAAGACTTCTAGTCTTTTTTTTCCCAGACAGGCTGCTGCTATGTCCTTGCTTTCAGAAAGGAGGCAGAAGAATAAACCCAGCAGAGGAATTAAAACTTCTAGTCTTTTTTTTTTCCCAGACAGGCTGCTGCTATGTCCTTGCTTTCAGAAAGGAGGCAGTGGTGAAGCCTGGCATGGCATTTAGCCTCCTTCACTCCCTCCTCTGACAGATGGCTGATGCTTAAGATCTTGGCTGAGACCAAAGTGTGACATATAAATACCTCAGCATTCTGATGCCCAGGTGCTGTCCTGCAATTTATTTTACAAATGGCATAAAAGATATGGATCAGCCTCCCTTAGAATTCCCTTAGATTTAGTGAAAGCCTAATTATCTGTCCATGGGTACTGGATTCACAGCACTGCCAGAGCACTGAGTTGCCCAGCACCAAGGTTCACACTAATGTGAACGAGAATTTGTCTCAGAATGTGCTGCTCTTGTGTGGTGTGCATTGAGGATAATGGTCATTTCAGCTGCTGCTTTCATGACTCTGAAGGCCTTGGTCACAAGCCCCCTCTGACTTCTCTCCAAAAAGGAGAATCCCAGCCTTTGTACCCACAGAAACTCAACCTCAGCTATTTTGGTTACCTTTTTTCACCTTTCCCTGCTCCTCTGTGTTTGTGGGGTATGGAGACTAGAAGCACACATGCATTTAAGGTTAGTGCTGTACATTTCAAACACGTTGTTGTTCTACCCTCAGTGCCTTTTTTTGTCATATTGATTATTTTGCTGGCTTTTGGCTATCATTACACAGTAAGCCAATGATTCAGATAATTGGCCTGGATGACTCCAAGATCTCCTTCCTGAGTTTGGTCTCCAGTCCTAAGTTTAGCATTGTGAAGACAGGATTTAGACCACTTGTCCTAGGTCTATCAGCCCACCTTTTTTCTGTATTAAAGCTCATATGACATCTTCTTGTTCCTTCAGTTAAATGAAGCCCTTTGTGAGTCCCTCACTATTATCTGGAAGTATGACCTGAAAATTTAGAAGTTTTAGAAGTTTTTCTGGATCAGCTCATTGATGAATACATTGAACAAAAACTCAGCCCTAATACAAGTCCTGAGGGCAGTTAAATACTGACTCATCTCCAAAAGTGACCATTAAGCTTTTGATCTTTTGATTGCTGTTGTTTAAGCTGCTTTGAACGCATAAAAGTTTTCTACCAATTCTGCAGCAACCTTTGTGAAAACTTGTCATGGGCACATTAAATATCTAAATGCATTACGTCTGCTGCACTATCCTAGAGCTTGGGAAAGTTAATGACACAGTGTGAACAGAGATCTCACAATCATATCAGGAACAGATATGCATATGTAAGAAACACTAATCTTTAGATCATGAGTCATGCTATTTAATAGATTGCTGATATTAAATAGAAAAAGAAAGTTGGAAAGGAAAAAAAATACAAAATAGGAGGTTGATTTTGTAGATTCTTCCTTAATGAGAAAACAAAGGAAGTGCCTGCAAATTGTTCATGCTTGCTTTTTCTTTTTGTTAAATTGCAGATGGCATTCATACTTTATTATATGGCGATCGTTGGCCACGCCTTGTCTATAACATCCCTGTTGATTTCCTTGGCAATTTTCTTCTATTTCAAGTAAGTGTTTCTTACAGACACTCTTTCTTCTTTCCCTGAGGCATCTCAACCAAATGAAATCTTGGAAGTTGTCATGGCAGTGAGAAGCAGCTCTTCTGAGGGTCTCTTTATATAATCCTGAAAGGAAATCTGAGCACAGGCTCCTCTCACCAATGGGACCTCTCCCAGTGGAGTGTAGCCAAGACCAAGTTGATGTGTTTGTCAGGACTGATGTGAAAAGTGCAACCCATGGGGAAATGGTGCAGCTGGGGGTGCAGTAAGGCCTTTCATTTACCTATTGCCTTATGTTGTTTAAGAGCATGTCCAGAGCTTGCCAGGTGCCGTGTCTGGGGGCATGGGGCAGTGAGTGGGAGCTCCAAGCTCCTGAAGCACAGGACTACCTGCATCTGAGGCTGAAGGACTGAGCTATTGACCTGAGTAGGCGCTTACAGGACTCAGCCCTAAGAGTGAATCTGGCACTAGTGTACAGCCTGTTATCCTCATTAAAAGAAAAACAGAATGCTGCTGTATCAGAATTTTAAAGGAGACCGATATTCACTGAAAACACTACAGCTACTGTATGGCAGCTTCACTAGAGCATTTCAATCTTGTTCTTTATTGAACCTGCCTGCTGCCAATTAGATGCCTGTGCCTCAACTGCCAAACAGGAAGAGTAGTAAAAGATCAAGTCCACAACATCACCACCACCAAGAATAAGACTAGGAAACACAGGAAAACTAAATGGTTGGACTTTTCATAGTTTATAAGATTCTGTAAGATTGCAAACTCCAAAGAGGTGGATCCAAATACAGGCTGTGAATTCTGGTAATTTCCAAAGAGGCAATTTGATGATTGCCTGTGATAAAACATCTTAATCAGCTACAGAGATAGCTAGAAACTCTGCCAAATTAACTGATTAATTCCCTTCCCATCTAAGCAGATAAATAGCTACAAAACCATAGCCACAGTAATGCTTTGAGAGAACTGGAAAGAGCACAGTTTTATCTGATTTGGAACCCCATTCCCTGGTTTAAATTCTTTGGGACAATAAGGACAGGATCTGGTCAAATTAGGTATGCTAAATGGACCAGCAAGATGACTGCTTGCAGCAAGCAAGGCAGGGTCAGCCTGTCTGACTCACTCTGAGCTCTGAGTCATGAACAACGCATGATCTTGACTGGTCCCAGGCTGCACTGAAAGACTGGTCTTTGCAGCAGCCTTCCAGACAGTAAAACACCTCCTCCTCTCTTCCCTCCTCCGCTTCTCCTTCCCCTGCCATGACTAAGCCACGACACAAAGGTTACAGAAAGAAAAGAGAAAGGAATTAAACCAAAGTGCTTCCTAATGGGAAGTCAAAGAGAAAACTAAACTATGGTCACAGGAAAGTGAGAATGAAGCTATGTGGGAGCGGGGCTCGTGTAACCTTCAGCTGTTTTCTATCATCTGGCTATGACAGCAATAAACTATTTGACCTTCAGCTGAAGGGAAGCTGTCAATCACACAGTCCATCAGATAGCAAGAGATGATTTCAGGACTGCATAATAGCCTTTGACTTTAGAGGCAGCTTGCAGTTTCCCACATATAAGTTTTCACCGGCAGAGCTTTATTTTCAGTTCACTTTTGGGTATCAAGATTCATAATGATCTGGAATCACAGATGTTGCAGTACTTTCAGAAGGGAATAATGAATCAGTATTGATGAGCATCACTAAGCAATGCTAACTCATAACAGAAGAAAGTATTAATAAAGTAGAATGTCTAACAGCTTCATGCATCGTCAGTTTATTGCAAGATTTCTATAATTGCAGAGTGAGACTCCATTATCTTAGTTAATAAAACACAAAGAGGTACTCCTACCTCCAAATCACTTCCAAACGAATTATTAACAAAGACATTTGTATAAAGACAGATGGGGAGTAAAACAAATCTATATTTGCCAGAATAATAGATGGTGTGTTATGAATGCACCTGCAGTCTAATTGCTGCCAAGGCTTTTAAAAGGAGTTGAAGGATAATGGATGAAAGAACATTCTGTGAAATTTTTGGGGAGCTTTCCCCAGGTGCAAGGGAGGACATGGTATAAAGCATGAAAAAAAAATTGATAACTAAACAATGGGGGAGGAGAGGAAAATAAGTGTCTAGGTATGAAAATCAATATTCTCAGTATTTATACATGAGAAAAATGACAGCTTCACAGAGCAGTTCTATGAGGAAAACATTCTAATACAATAGGGAAGTAGAGATAGGAACAGTAAAATAAGGGTGACTAAGACAGGTGAGACAGGTAAGAGAACCTGTCTGAAAAAGGAAATGTAGGAGACAGAATCAAGGTGAAACACAGGGGAGACACAGGAGACTGACACTCTAAAGAGACAATGATAGAGGCTTGGAGACACAAAAGCTCACAGGTTTTAGACACAGATAACTGGCTTAGTTATGCCTTCTTGCATACTGATTTATTAGAATCACACAGAATCACAGAATAAGGTGAGTTGGAAGGGACCCTCAAGGATCATCAAGTCCAGCTCCTGGCTCTGTATAGCACCATCCCCAAGAGTCACACCATGTGCCCAAGAGTGAAGCAGAGTAGGGAGAATACAGAAAGATGGTGGGGAAAATGCCAAGCAGCCTCCAAAAACATCACAAAGGAATGATTAATAACACAAAAAGGGCTAGAAAGAGAACTAAAAGAGGTCAGAGAAGGAGAAGATTGTAAATAATTAACAAAACCAGCAGAAATAATAAATCAAGTAAAGGTTTGGTTCAACTTTCTCCTCTTGGTGTGGACCATGTCAGGCAGGTGTTGATGCCATTGTGATGGCAAACACTGAAGGTCAAATTAGAAAGTGAGAGTATGGAAATAAATGCTAATGCTACAGGTGGATCTTTAACATGAGAGCTGTAATCAAGGAAAAAGTGGAATACTGAGGGAAAAAGAGGAGAAAACAGAGAGAAGAAGGCAGGCAGGGAAAGGAGACTGGGCAGCACACAAAAATATATGTACTGAAGGACAGTCCAATTGAATAGATAATTAAAACTGTCAAAAGTCAAGTAGAGCAGTGAGGAAGGACAGGAATGGGAGTTCAGACACACCTACCTGGCTGAGATTATTGAAAAAGACTCCCTGTACCAGAAACCACATGGAAAGGCACCTCGAGAGACAAGGGTCTGCATTTCTGTGGTCAGGAGCTGAAGAGATTGTTCCCAGTAATAAGGAAATTTTTATTTCTAGGGAACATCACTGAAGTCACACCAATCCTGTTCCCACAACTGCAAAAGAAAGACCGTGATAAGCATGTCCAGAAAAGTGGGGTTAAGTGGCATAGTGAAAGTGTGATGGAGTAGGGGGAGAAGGGAAGACTCAGGACCGAATAAATATTACCAGAGCTTAGGAGCAGAAAAGGAACATCAGGCTAGATTTGTGATAGGGACAAATACAGGTGGAGTAAGCACAAGAACACAGTGTAGCAAAAGTAGCTCCAAAGAATGGTCTAGTTTTTCCAATATCATGTCCTACAGTGACTCAAAGAGAAAGTTCATGAACCCAACCCTGTATCGGCACTCAGTATTTGCCAACAGCTGATGCTAAAGGAGGGCTATAAAATCAAGGCCAAGTGTACAGAGATTCTCTCATTCTTAGCCACCAGGACCTGCATCTCATAGACATCCTAAACCACAGATGGTGACTTGATAAATAAGGAGGTCTAAACCATGTCCTACAGTGACTCAAACAGAAAGTTCATGAACCCAGCCCTGAATCTGGCACTCAGTATTTGCCAACAGCTGATGCTAAAGGAGGGCTATAAAATCAAGGCCAAGTGTACAGAGATTCTCTCATTCTTAGCCACCAGGACCTGCATCTCATAGACATCCTAAACCACAGATGGTGACTTGATAAATAAGGAGGTCTAAAGAAGTGATAAGCATTGCTGGATGGTTATTGCTCATAACCAGAAAGATGAGCTCAAGCTAAAGGGGGAACTCCATGAAATTACTTGGAAAGTAGGTGTAAGGAAAACAAAGAATAAATGGCAAGTGACCAAGGGGCTAAAGAAGGGAAATAAATCAAGAAGGCAAGCAAAATAAGCAGAAAATAGTTCAACTGGCTAGATTAGCTCTCTTTTTGAAGAGAGTGCTCTCTGCATTGGCCTCCACATGCAGAGGAAAAGAAAGCCACCGCCTGTGCCCCATTCCAGACTGCAAAAGACTCCTAGTGCTGAGCTTATCCCAGCAAAACAGCAGTATTTCTTAGCTGTTATTTACCTAGCAGTTTTGCCTCCTTACTCTCAGTGATCTCTGGACAGCACAGCATTATCTAACAGCTCCATGACTGCCTTTCTGCAATCACCCTCTCTCAGCCTGGGGCATGGAGAGAGAGAGGGTGATTTTCCTCTGCCTCAGGGATGTGTGAGCAGGCAACATCAGGATTTGGGTGTGAATTAGAAATGGGAGATTTCTCAGGTCTGAAACTGCAGTCATGATTTGGTTTCACAAGAATTCTGAAAACTTATCTTGTGTAGCTCTGCTACCCACAATAGCATTAATCCTACCTTCCCTAAAAACAGTGATTTCAAGAGGTTTCTTCTCCTTCTGAGCACGAAAACAACCTCCTCTGGTTTGGGATCTCACTGGAGTTAGAAATATGCAGGATACCAACCCAAATCCCCCGGTAATTTAAGGATATTCCTGCCCAAATTCCGATCCTGTCTCACTAGTAATTCTTGAAGTAGAAAATAATTTTCATCTGAGTATTTGAGAAATTGAGTCTCCAGGGAACAGTTACTTATAAAGCAGTATTCCTGATATTCATTCCTTGCATCATGCGCATCCAAAAATTCTCAGGGTTCTGCTTGACCACTTAATATCTCAATTACCATGAATTAAAGAAAGGCATCAAGAGCTAAGAATGTAGCTGGATAGGTCTTTGCCACATGGTCTAAAAAGCGTGTGGTGCTAAACAGGTGTAAAAACAAACCCAAAAATTTTTCAGAGGGTATGGCTACAATGCAAGGCATGTATTTTCCAATTATGCCTTGCCAAAAGACATTCTTGAGAGACTGTTGCCAGAAAGAGCTTGTTAAAGTGACATCAGAGGAAAAATACTAATTTATGACATGTGTTACATATTTTTCAGGAGCCTCAGCTGTCAAAGGATAACACTGCATAAGAATTTGTTTTTTTCCTATGTGCTGAACTCCATGTTTACAATTGCTCACCTCATTGCTGTCGTCCCCAACCCAGGCCTTGTAAAAAGGGATCCTGTAAGTACTGCATGACTCCTCTCCATCCTAACACCCAAGTAAAATCACTATGGCCATGCCAAAACCTAGAATTCCCATTCCTCAGCTAATGATAGCCATCTGGGAAAACACACACAGAGTGTGCAGATTCTGAGAATTTCACTCAAACTTGCTCATATCCTTCACCAAGAAATAAAAATCTTTGAATTTTGTACAAGCCCCAGACTTGGTCCAGCCAGCTCATCCATACAAGTATGTGCCAGACCTCAATTTCTCCCAGCAATAACTACCTCATGATTCCCAACAAAGCCCCTGAGGTGATAGGTGCCTTTGGTGACTGCTTGTCCTTCTTCACAAACCACACACTGAAGAGGGAGAGGATGGAAAGAGAGATGGCTTATTTCAATACAACACACAAAAAGGTCTATTTGCTGTATCTTTCAAATTCAGAGGCAGTAAATCAAAGCATTACTTGCCTTCTCTTAGGTAACTAAGGAGTTACTGACTGCTCTTAGGTAGTGAAACAAATTGTGCCAGTCCCTCAGCTGATAAATATATATGGCAGATCTCAGTCATCCAGCTCTGATCTTGCTCCCTAACCCAGCCATTACATTGTGCTCAGTCCTTACAGCAGCCCCAGACAATGTGATATGAATGCAAACGTGGTAAGTTTCATTTTAACACTCATCAGCTTGTAGTCTAATAAGATCATTCAATTATAATTCAACCATTTATGGCCTGCCCCTAATTTCATTAAAGGAATTAAATATTAGCACCTGATATTATCCGATCACATGTGTGTCTCTCAAATGCGTGCTGATTAAGTAAGTTAATTAAAGCAGAAAATATATTGCCTAAAGAAAACATCACCAGTCTCAGAAACCATCTGGAGATTAAAAAATAGAAGAGCAGAAGAATAATTTAAAAATCACATATTTCGTTTCTCCCCATTGCATAGCATCATGCATAGATAGCCTGTGCAAGAGGTACAATGAAAATACACGATATTTGAAGATAAAAAGCTGGCAGATGATATCAGGCACCTAAACTGAATTAAAATCATTACCTCAGGGTTAAGAATGATATATTCTGACAGCACAAATAAATTATCTGAAACGGTTTAAACTAAGAGTTGAGAGAATGGGAAGGAGTCTTGTGGTTTAAGATTTCGTTTTAAAACAATTGTCTAACAAAACTATTTGTCTAACAAAAGGCACTATCTAGTGTCTTTTGGCCTGATCTTTACTGGAAGTGAACTCTCAACACCAGTGAAGTCAATGACAAAGCTCTCAGAGGCTCCCATAGAGCCACATAGCCAGAGGACGGTTCCAGCCCACTGAGCATCACACGATGTTATCCCCAGCCTCCATTACTATGGCACAACAGTAAAAAAGTGACACCAGTGGCTGCCTTTGGAGGCCATGGAGCCCCAAAGTGGAGCAGAGGTTCATGTACCACACTCAGATCTCAGGTCTCTGCTCAGAATATGAAGAGGAGCCTAAATGCTCAATGTAATCATGAAAATGACCCAAGCAGTGTCCTGTTAATAAAATTGGCTGCAATTATTGGCTAAGTAGATGTTTTGAGGAGCAAAGCCATTGCTTTGCAATTTCTTCTTCCAAACCAAATTTGCATGTCTTTGACCCAACAGTGAAAGGCTGTCTACAGCCAAGGTACAAAACTTGGGGCCAGAATATCTGGGGTCTCTCATTTTTGTCCCACCATTGAGTATGGGATGAGGGTACACTCTCTGCTTGATCTTGCCTCACATTCTAGATTTCCCTCCCAAAAAACCAAAAAAAATAATAAAAAGGAGGTGAGGCAACCTGCTAATATCGTCTAAGTCTCCCAGACTTACTAGAAAATATATTCTGTTACCTTACTAGTAACATAATAAAATTTTAAGTTTGTGATTGGGAAAAGAAAGACAGGAGCACATTTTTTAACATATGATGAAATTACAGAAAATCTCTATATAGAGTAGATGAAGACTAAAAAAAGTACAAAAAACTCCCATAATATTTTTATGCTGATGCTTATTATCAGAGCAAATGAAAGCTTTACATCTTGGGTGTTTTCTACTGCTGCTGCACTCTCTGATTTAATAAGTCCACTTGAAGATTACTGCTTCTGACTTCCTCTAGTTTGCTGCACTTATCCACTTTCTACATGCAAATCTTTGGAGCTTCACAGGCCCACGTATGTATGGCTCTTACCTTTTGTATATACAGAAAAACTGAAATGTCTAGATTGAATTTCAAGCAATCGTGGATACCACTCAGATAACAGCCATAAACTGAGATGAACTTGCTGGTATTTATTCTGCAAAATAATAAATGTGTTTGCACCCCAATAGTTCCTGCTTTTTTTTTTCCCTACCTAAAATTTCACAATAGTTTTTAAATGTGAAATGCCATGGGAAAATACTTCCAGTGATTCATAATTTATGAGAATATCAACAAATTCATATAATTTTGAAAGAAGAAAGGACAATCTCTTAAATAACAAGGAGAGGAGTCAGGAGGAGCAAGACAGCAAGAGAGGAAACTTCCTAACTCCAAGACAGCCCCATTCTCCCTGTGACCCAGGGAGAAATGACATGAGACAATCCAAAGTATCATTTAATTGAGGACAGTCTGTACCACATCCTTACTCACATTGCTGCTAAGAGTTAAATCCTTTGATGATCATTCTGCTCATGTAAAATGGTAAGTCAAGCCACTTTTATAATAATCTTAACTTGTTTATTTACTTCATGTTCTCTGGTTTTACAATATTCTCTCTCTCTGTTTCTCTTTCTGTCACATTTATCTGGATCTGAAACCATGGAAAAAAATTATTGGAGTCCAGGTGGCCATGCAAGAAATGAAGAAGCAATGGACAAGGTTCAAACACATTTAAACAAAAATAAACAGGACACATGTATGAACACTTATTTACATATATTGAAAATCTTCACTGCTTTATCTGAACTAGGAACTGCATTAATTATGCTGTTACTGGAACTGCATTCATAGGAAGAGATATCATCTATCACCTTCCCAAATGAGACTGACCCACAGTAGAAGGGTGATCCGTGGACAGCACATTATGTTCTCCATTAAAATCTCCAGAAATATAAATAAAACTCTTGCTGCCAAATCTCTCAATACAGTCTTATGCATTAGATCTGTATTTTTTGTTTTCTGTATTCCACAGGAGTAGTCATTTTAATGCTCATACTGATGGGAGTAAAAAGAATCGACAGCTAATGCTTGAAGGGGTAGCCAGAAACTGAGCAATCCATCAGCTCCATGGGCATCATATAAATATGCCTTTAGGTGGGGCTAAGTTTGGTCACAAATTAGTAATGTCTCGGTAATTAGAACCTCTTCCACAAAGGCAGAGATCTTACTGTATTTTTTTTTCTCTTTCACGTTCTAGTAGAAATATCTGCTCTCTTCTTTCTGCAGGTTCTTATGCAGCCTCTTCACCTGCCATTGTATGGTGTAAAAGTTTATGTTTTGATTGCAGTTTTATAGAGGCTATAGCAAGGGCCAGTGTTCCACTAGTAGTTCTTAGGAGCCCTGTGTGGGGTTGCATGCTTGGCCACATTATGTCAGAGAGTAAGGACACAGCATCCATTCAGGCACATTCCAATCCCGCTGTCAAGTCCCATCTCATTGCCACACAGTTTCTTTAGGCCTTAATGTATAAACAATCTGTTCACCCTCTTATATGGGTTCAGTGTCAGACCTGGTATGGAAGAACCCAAAGCAATACCTGTTTAATTACATGCAGCATGATTTCATTTCCTGCTGGCAGCACCTGTAACTAATTTAGCCCTTGAACATGAGGGGTGAGAGGATGGAGGCTGTTTTTCCCTCCTTGTGTAGATGTAGATATATTTTAAATATCTTGATCCAGTTTACCACCCTAGCTGATGGTGCAACACGCACTCTGTGTCTCTGGCAGGAGCCTTTCCTGCCAGAGACATAGTCCCTTTCCCTTTGCAAGCATTTCACTAAGTTTGCTGACACTGTGAGCATGAGGTGGGATGACAAGGGACATTTGGTTATCTGTACTGCCCAAGACCCATCTCCTGGAACAAGCAAGCCTTCTAAGCACTAAGATCTTATAAGCATCTTACTGCTTTCAGCATTATTAGTTAGACCAAGAGAGCACAAAGGCTGTTGTCCACAAATATTAAAGTTTTAAAGCAAGGCCATGGTAGTAGCAATACTAAAAATTCTAGCTTTGTTGTGGACACTAGAACACTATAAATAATCTCTCCATTAATAAATTAAAGTGAAAACCACTACTGCCAAATCATGTTAGGTTTTCCTCCCTATCACAATTACAGCATAACAGTAGAAATAAAACACTGGGCTGTGTGGACAGATGACAAGTGTAAAAGAATAGTTATTGTGATTTATGGGGTTCCAATACTGGTATTGCCAAGTTCCTAAAGGAATAGAGAGGCAATGTAAGACAAGAAAGCACAGGAGATTTTGCAGCATTTTGGGAAGCGTGTCAATTTGAGTATTTTTTACCATACAAATGTTATTTTCTCACCTCTTCTTGCTTTCATTTCCTGCTGATCTAGCCTGGCAGAGCATGGGGGGGTTTAAAACATCTTTTTATCAAATGTGGTTCTCATAAATTATATCAGTGACAACAAATGGCAAAACTGCTGCTCCATGTGATTGTTTCACATGTGACTTTTTTTCCTTAGTTGTTCCAGCAGACCTCCCTGGAAACAGCAACAGTGGAGATCCACAAGGAAAGGGGCACTTCCATCTTCTGAGTTGTTTCATGTGTTATATTTGGGGTAGAGCTTCAGGAGGTGCAATTCTTGTTACATAATTTGATTCTTTTTTTCATGTGACTATTTCCACAAATTTCTGTCACTGTCAAAGCATTTCCGAAGTCTTTTATCTTAGTACATCTATTCCTCCATCCTGCTTCCATTAGATTATTTATCCTCAGCAGCCAGTTTAGAGACCAAGAGGTGACACAGAACCTGGTCAATTCTGAAATCA